TAGTCACGTGTGAGTGCAAAAACATTTATCATCTGTTTTACTACAGTTGAAATGCATCATACTGATCGGGTAAAATTCTAATTTGGCATTATGCAAGGCATACCGGACACCAGACCATCATCAAACACTTACACCCCACAACCATTCATGAGCAACCAAGAACCTTTCTTCCCAACACAACCATCTTTTACACAACAACCTTTCTTCCCAACACAACCACCTTTTACCCCAAGCCAACAATACCATCAACAAAACCCTTCATCTAACCCCACCAAATGGGACACCCAGCAACAATATCCTTCATCTAACCCCACCCAATGGGGCACCCAACAATAATATCCTTCATCTAACCCTACCCAATGGGTCCCCCAACAACAATACTCACATTTTACCCAGTCAACATCAACCAGTCTACCACAAACATCATTAACACTACAAACCCACATGATCCCAACTATCAGACACCCCAACAACAAATACCTATTTTCCGGCCACAACAATTTACCTCTCAACACTACAAGAAAAATGATAGATTGGGATGGTTATTTTGGCTGATTACGACGGTTAAAACCGTCGCAATTTACAATCTACGACGGTAGAAGTACCGTCGCAGAATCGTGCGTCCCCAGCCTATTTCGCGACGGTTGCAAAACTGTCACACACAACAGATAGCGACGGTTATATACCGTCGTGAATTTGACTTTATTTTTTGTTTTTGTTGTTGTTTGCGACGATTATTCTACCGCCGTAGGTTAGAAATTGCGGCGGTTTTAACCGTCGTAATCTGATTTATAAATTTCAAATAATATTTTTATTTAAATTATTATTTAGTAAAATAATTTTAAATATAATATTATTTTACTATAATATTTTACTATTATATTTAAATTATTATTTACTTTAATATTTTTTTATTTATAGTATTTTTATTTTATTTTCTATCACTTTTCAACATAATAAAGTTAATTACAATAAAAACATTTAATATCAAATAATCATCAATAATATCAAAAAAATGTGATCAAAGGTAAAAAGAAGTGCAAATTTTACCAATAAACAAGAAAAATTCAAATATCATCAAACTCCAATTGTATGAAAAGTTATAAGGTACAGAAAAATCAACTACAACAAAATCTCCAATAAAATAAAATTCACTTTCCGCTAAGGAGAAACCTAATCAAATTTGGATATGTATCAAGGCGTCTCAAGTTCTTTAGATATGTATGATACATAAATTGAGGACATTCTTCATATAGAAGCACGTCGACACACTTTTTCAATTCCTGATAAATATAGACGATAGAAATGTCTTCATTAGTGCTTGTAAATTCCTGGATTTTAGGAATCAGATTTAAACCTAGACCTTTCTCGACTAAGCTCATTGTGAGAGCTTCAAAAACTTGGTTGATGTCTACTTGCACCATCAGTCTTCTCTATGCCCTTGTGCGAGCTAAATCAATGCCTTCCATTACTCACCAAAGCTCAGCTACAACACTACTACATTTTCCATCACAGTAATCACACAAATTATCTGGAAGATTCAAGTGGTTTAGATATTGGTTGGTTTTGATTCCATTATGATATATCATCCACACAAAAACCCTTATTCTTTTAGTAACACTCAGATTCCAAATGCCTTTCCAATGATCCTCTATATCCTTGTTCTTGGTGGAGGTATTACAAGCATTATATCCAAAAACTTCCGACTGAACATGTTCCTTAAATGGCTTCAATTCCAATTTCCATCATCATTAATTAAGTCTGCAATTGTTGTATTCACATTATCTCCAATAGGCTAATTGATGAGATCTTGGAGTCTGGGGGTGCTACAGTAATCGGACCCTCCTCAATAATCTGTTCCAGATGATTGATTATGTCATTACCGAGATTCATTCCATCGTGACAATTTGGTGTAGTAACTAGTAACAGAAAATTTTCATACCTTTTGATGCCTTCGTTGAACACTGCAATCACGGCTGTGTAAAGCTGCAACATTTCCGTACTGATCACAAATCAGTTGGACTTCAAGATGCCGGCTCTATTTAGAAGCAAGAGAGACCGTCAGCGTATGATCAAAACTCCAAAAATCAAGCTCACTCAGATCAAAGTTCAGTGGTTTATCTAACCTGGGAAGCAACTTTCATTATAAATATAGGTGATCCCGGAACTTCACCTTGAACTTGCTTGAACAATGCCCTTACCTCATCATCATTATGAACCTAAAATATCCACATGCATGTTAGTTTCTTAACTTTTACCAAACAAAACACAAAAATATGATTGGCACAAGATTATCAGCATTGATCTATGTAAGCACCGATGCTTCAGATTTAACGTGTGCCCGATTTCTTGCAACTATGATGGCATGCATTTAATTAATCTTGGTTTTAATGTTTATATTATTGGTGTTAATAAATATGCAAGTAACAGACAATTTGTGTCCAGTAATAAAAATATAGTGACAGTTAACAAGGGTATGACATGGATGCACAGGGAGGGAGTGGCAGCATAAGTGCATAACTGCTTTGCCATTTACCATATAATAAATTGCATTAACAAAAGAAATGCTTAATTCCTATTCACTTTACAGTGATTATCTTGTGGAGATATAAGGATAGTGGTGGAATACAAACCATTGTTTATTACAGGATTGCACAGTTCTCTCTATGCAATTACTTTAGTGGTGGTGTAGTTGAAAACTCCCACATATATTGTGATAAACTACCATAGTCTCGTTTACCGGCAATTTCCTCAACACGGACTGCATCAGATATTTCCTTCAACTGTTGTTCTGTAAGCTTCACATTCAGAGATCCAATGTTGTTTTCAAAGTTTTTCATTTTAGTAGTCCCTGTGGTATCAAACAAATATATCATAAATCACTTGGTCAATTTTTCATTTTAGTAGTCCCTGTAGAAATCAATATATTTATTTATCCACTAGTCATAAAGAGTGTACATATCCTTTGAGAAGGTACAATTATGCTACATTGTAACAACATATTTGTGACAGAACCCAGAAAATATGAACATCGAGTACATATCCTTTCAGTAATTCTAATTTTTTATGATTGAATGGAAGAGAGAAATGAAGTACACTACAATGGGAGAAAAACTTTACATGTGAACCACTCCATGGAAGGGTTGGCACATTGGCTGCTTGAGCGATCAACGATGAACCAATTTTATCTCCCAATGCCCCCATAGATACTGCAGGAGGCCCAAGAAATACAATTCCTTTTGCTTTTAATGCATCTGGTAGCTCAGGATTCTCTGATGCATGACCCCAACCAGGCCATACCGCATCAACATGAGTTATCTCGGCAATCTGGAAAACACATTGCATTGCCGTCAGCAAAATTAACAAGTTATGCAGATCAAAATAATCACAATTACATAAGCACTGAAATCATTTAAATGACAAGAATAAATAAGCTGCAGTAATCTCATGAAGTCGACATCACATACCTCTAGAATAAGCTGCACATTGGCGTAGTTATTATTATAAGAAATTGCATCTGGAGGACAGCCCACTTCACCAATATTTAAACCCCCTCTTAACAAACCAGAAACTTTTAAGATCAAAGTTCTATCGGAAATTTCATCAAACACCTTAGATGCATCATACAAAATTGTAACATTGTTTCCAATCACAATCACAGTTGCTTCACCAATAACAACATCAGTAGCAGTTACTAAAGAGATTATAATAGATTTAGAAACAACAACACCAGTAAATATAATGTTCTAAAGAAACTTAAATATTATCAATGCACCAACCCCTATCCAATGTCGATAAGAATCTGTGAAGAGTCCAAGAGATTCCAAAACTTGAGAGTAATTAGGCCTTCAATATTACTAAAAGTAAAACACTTCTAAAGTTGCAAGTATAAAAGATTACATGGTGCCAAATATCTCTAAGGAATTCATTCACCACTGTATCATTTTGTCATGGTTTTTGATGTCTTTAAGACTTCAACACAGTACTGACGCACTTCAAAAGGACCATGGCTCGATTGTATTTTAAAATTTAGAACTAGTATATTGACATGTTGCACATAAGGTTTTTTACCTCCCAACTTTGGATTGAATCCTATTATGTAATAGATGAGAAAAACCCAAACACCAACTTCAAAAAATGTAACATATGAATGCTTTAGTTGTCATCATCTTCTTGAAAAAAGTCACAGTAATAATGAATGTGCTATTCAGTCTAAGTAAGGTGTGCATAAAAAACCTTGAACGAAATTGGGATGATTCACAAATCTTATAAAATGGAAGTTACAAAGTAAAGTGCAGTAGTAGTTAAATAGAACTCCCATAGTGCAGAGGCATTCCTAAATCACATGACAATACAAACTCAATATAATCTTTAACCTTGAGATATCAGAACCTCCATGTAAACAAGTAATATATAATCAACAACATAAACATAGATACACATAAACTGATGTTGTATGATATAGAACAAAGCAATCCTCATCTACAATATCAAGAGCAGACTGACCGCTAATCAACAACATAAACATAGATACACATAAACTGATGTTGTATGAAAAGCACCTTATTGGCAGCATCAACTATATCAGCTTTACAGTACCCATTTAAAAGTGCTTCATACGCAAAAACATCAGCCTGGCCGTGCTTTTCCAAAATCTCCATGACCCGAATAGCTTTCTGGGTTTTCCACCTTAATAATATTGAAGGTTAAATAAAAGAGATATTTAAGTAAAATGTACATTAATATTTGCACCAAGTAAACAATAAAACAATAAACAAATATTTTAGATTATGACTGTTGTTTAATATCTTCATACATTAGCACAAGTCTCATAACATATAATCAATAGCATGTGAGATAAAACACTATTATCCTATCAACAAATATGAAGGGGAAAAAGCACAAAATAGAATTCAATGATAGCACTCTATACAGAAACAAGATATGACATATCAACCTATGGAGTATGGAAGGAGAAGAAAGGATGGTCCTGAAATTGATCATGAGTGTGAAATGAGGTTACTATCTTCTACTACACCCGGAGGAGACTCCGGTGGTACGGCCGATTCTTGAAATACAGAAGATTCAAGATCCAGAATCCTCCTTGCAGTTGCTTGAGATTCTTTGATTCTTCCAACTTTTCTGGATGAGTGGAATATAGAGGCAACAACTCTTGTTGAATTGCTACTATCAATTGAATGCAAGAACTTGTCTTTGGAAAGTGTTGGCGCCGATGCAATGATGGAGCTGAATACTCCGGATTCCCTCAAACTTTGTATTATGACCTGGAGACAAGATCATCAAGAAATGTATAATATGTAGAAATAGATATAGCAACACCTCTATCTCTAGCACACTGTTGTCAATAGCGGATCACAGATTAGCAGTTTGTTCAAATTCCACAATACCGCACTGCTATAGCGCAAGCGCTGTTATGTCTGCTATTTGACAATATTTTGCATTAGATAATCGCAGAACAATAGCGATTTGTTTAAATACAGCTATGTTATAGCTCTATAACGCTCCTATAACCAATCCTACTTAAGATCTCGTGCTTGACTACATTGATTGGAACAACTTTAACTAACTTATCACTGACCGTGGGAGCGTATATGCGGGTCAATATTCCTTTCCTCAACAGTTTTATCTTCAACTCTTTATCACCCCACACAACATGCTCATTATACCTGGAACAAGAAAAAAGATCAAATGTTTCTCGAAGATCGATAAAATAATGGTTAAATTATGTAGGAGAGTATAAATGAATATAAATTGAAGGTAGCATACCACTTCAACATTTCTTCTTCAGTTGCTGTTGAAGCAATGATGAATGCCTGAAATTGATAATAAGGTCTACTTAGCATAAATGAAAGCAATGATAAATACCTAGAATCGAAAAACTGAAAAACTGAAACTTACAGATCTGTCAAATTCCAACATGAAGCATCTTTTGACATCTTCTTTGGTAGGTTTGCAACCACAACGATCACGTCTAGAAGTTAAATCAGAGAATTTGGCGTATGTGTAATGTAAAACAGCAGCTAAAAACAACCGGCTCCTTCTCCATCAACCTCAGTATCTCACCAACTCCACTTCGATCCTTTCTTCCAACATACGCATTCAACAACGTATTGTAAGTAAACACAGTCGGTTTCACAATGCTTTTAGTGACCATCTCATCCATCAACTCCTTAGCTTTCTCAACCTCTCCTCTCTTACACAAGCCATCAATCACAAGTGTCAAAGACTGAACCCTAATTTCAATTCCATTAGACTCAACCATCCGGCGGAAGAATCTAAGACACAACTCAATCTCACCACATCTCTTCAAAGCAAGCAAAAGCACAAAACAAGACCTCTCCTCTATCACGAACCCCTTTTCCTCCACATAATCAAAAACCCTAACCGCCTCTGGAAATAACCTATTATCAGAACAAACCCTAAACAACATATCACAAAGCTTGTCAACAAAATGAAACTCAAATTCATCAAGCAAATCAACGATCCCCGAAACTGGGGAGCGAAATTGGGAATCAGTAACAACGGAATTCAGAATAGTCTTGATGGTGGCGAATTTGCGAGCTTTAAAGAGTCTAGAAAAGAGAATCAAATGGGCCTTGAGGTCAGGTTTGAGTGAATGGTTGGAATGATGGGTTTTGAGGAAGTGGAAAAAGGATAAACAGGAATGCGGTTGGAGAATAGGGTCTGAAAGAACACGGTAAGTAACATGGGGGGTGAAGGTGATGCAGGAAATGATGGAGTGAAGTTCGGTGTTATTGGGTTTGAAATAGTTGGGTTTAAATTGCAGTAAAGGATTTAGGGGGACGACGGGTGTGGTTACCGTCGTGCCCTTTCATAACTTTTGCATGTTTTTTAAAGGTTTAGGGGGGCGACGGTTGTTTTACCGTCGTGATGTCTATTTTAGGACGGTTTCTTAACCGTCGCAACATTCATTTTAGGGCGGTAGGTGTATACCGTCGTGACATGGGTCCTTATATTAGAATTACGACGGTTATTAAGTAACTGTCGCAATTTTTGTGTCGTAAAATCCTAATTTTCTTGTAGTGCAAGATTGTTACCAACCCTTAATAAATAGCTCAATGTCTTCTAATCCCATACCAAATTGGAATTGGGAGGGAACCAGATTAAGTTATGACAGTGCAGCCGAGACAGACTATACCAATGAGGACATGATTGAGGAATTTTTAATGGGCGGGTGTGACGCGAGACCTTCAACTCAACCACAAAATGAAGAAGGAAATCGCAGAACAGGCCAACGTACAAGACGAGCACCTTCTTGTGAAACTCACCGACGATTGACACGACCCGGTCAAAATCGATAGTAGATGTATCTTCTTTATTGAATCTTTGTTTAATTATAGTTGAATTATATAATTTAAAAATGAAAAAAAATTAATTCAAGTAAATTAGTGAAAATTTTGTTTAATTATAGTGTATTTTGTTTAATTATAGCAATTTAATTTAAAAAATAAAATAAAAAATAAGTTAACACTCTTCTGCCCATCCAATGGGTGGATCCTCTCTAATTTTTAAAGCTTCCACCCAATGTTTCAGCGGATGGGAAAAAGTTCTCAATGCTCCGCCCATTCAATTGGCGGATGCGTTGTGGCAAAAATAAAAATTTGTTTGAAAAGAGAATAGATTGGAATTATTGAGTGAAGAGTGTGATATATTAAAATTTAATGTGTAAAAGGAGTGTAAGGCAGTAAAAAATTCCCTATTATTCTCATCTCCCAATCTTAACCAATTGACTCTGCAGAATTTTCTCTTCAATTTCACTAAGAAAAAATACTATTATTATTAGTAGTAATAATTTAAATTTTTATCAATTTTATTAAATAAAATAAAATATAATAAAAAAAGTAAAGAAATAGTCAAGGAGGAGGCCATATTCCCTGTTTGAAGTAACTCCAACTCTTCTTTCTCTTTTGTTGATAATGGTTTATTGCCATTTAGGTGTAACACCACACTTTGACAAGAAATTTTCTGTCTTGGTTTCACTTAAACTTCAAATCTCTTACCATAAAAGATATATCAAAGTCTCTCACCCTAGACAGAGCTTTGGTTAGATGTATATATGATTTTTTTTATAAAAAAAAAATCTATGTAAGATGTGTTTAATTTTTTTTTGGTATAACGTATTTATTTATGTAATAAGCAAACGAAGAGATAAAGATGTATGAAACACATATAATTGCATAATTCCGAATTTAAACGTCAATAAAATTGTAACTTATTGACATAAATGATCCTTAGTTAACCTCAATGATAGAGTAGTCATTTCACAAGGTTTAGTTTTTTCTGAGAAACTAGTAACAAACCCGTGCTATCGCACGAGTCTCGTATGGATTCACATTACATTTATAGATTATTAAATTATTAAGTATGTTATCATGTTTTCAGTTGAGTATATGTCTCATGTAAACCATGTTGGCATTTAACTCCATATTTGTAGCAAGCGTCGGTCCTATCAACAAATCACGTCTGCATGAACAAATAGGAAAAATTATATACTTCTTGAAATACATGGAAAATGTACATACTATATATTTTAATTCAAAATATATTTTTAATTTGAATCGTAAAGTATAAGATATAAAGTTTACCAACTATCAAAGTGCTTGAAAGACTTCCTTGTACACAACATTAAAGAATAAAAATAGAAATAAAAAAAATATTAGATTAATATACTTGACCAAGAAACTATTAAGTCTTTATATTAAGTCTTTAATGTTAAAAATATTCTACAATTTAGTCAAAAATGAATTCTATAGTGAATTAATATGAAACAACAATGAATTTAAAAGATAAACATTAAAATGAACAGTCTATAATCAGTATCTCATAGAGACGTTCACATCTACCCGTGGATCTATACATGCAATTTAATGGTTCAATAAAATTTAATTAAGTAAACTAAATTTATTTTATTACTTTTAAATTGTAGATAATGCAAAAACATTCATTTTTTATAAGGAGTTGATTTATCTCGAAATAAATATTAAAAGAGTTTAATTGTTATGCACTGTCTGTGTAAATTTTTTTACACCAACATATCATGATCACTCAACTTTATTACTTTAAAAAAAATTAAAACAAATGTCAAACATTTTAAACAAATCAACAGTTGTGATTAACCGACGGTGTAAAATTTCTTTATATCGTCAGTGTATTCCAATTAAATTCGTATTAAAATAGATATGGAAAGACAACACTTAATTTTGATTGAAAAAAGTAAAAAATATTTTTTATTAATCATATAGTCACTCAACATATATTGAATTTTGAATATAGTAATTAATTATGACACATCAAATTGGTAGCCTTACATGAATAGCTTGCCTTCGACTAAGTGTTGATATGACTAAAGCCTCGACATCATCGTACGCAATGGCTTCATATCGGAAGCTTCTAGAAATAAACATTATGTTACATGAATATCTCAATGGAGGCTTTTCACCTTTCAAATAAACCAAAGATCTTGATGTCGTAACTGGATGTTTACCGGACGTGGTGATACTAATGTCCTTATAATGTCTTTATACACAAAATACATTTTAATATTGCAAAAACAAACAGTGTTGAGAATTTGATGCTTTTATTGAGATTTACATACATTATGCTTAACAATCACACACATAGTCACAAAATGAACATACAACAAAACACACCATCATGTAATCACTACTCAACAATGTTTCCAACACGTGCTTTCACAATTATACCAGCATTATATCCTCCAAGACAACTAATCTTTTAACGACATGATCTTCTTAACTTACCTCCATAGCATAATCGACCTAAAGATCCACTTACAAATCTACAAATGTTCACAGTGAGTGATAGGATAGTAGCAAACAACATGTAAATTTATTAGTATGTGTCCATAGATGTGATAAATTATTTTACTATAACATGTGGTCTACATATCTACGTGCATATACCTGCCATTTAAATTGATAAAACTAATTGTAACACATATCGAAATGTAAGCTCAACTCAAAGCGTGAGTCAGGTGATTATTTAGAGCGACTTAAGATGATATGTATGTTATATCGAGAACTGATTTCATCTCTACATCATATCGGGAACAAATTTTATCCAAGTATTGTAATTGACATCGACTTCGCTTTGACAGTCGAGCTAAACTTTTCACTTCTTCCTATTAACAAATTATAATGACAATGAATGTGTCATTGTCGTACTAAACTTTACACTTCTTCCTATCTGCAGTGCATAGCAAGCAAAAATTCTCACAGACATTCAAATTATTTTCCTTCCTCGGTGATTTCAGTGTAAGATCTTGTAGACTTTCTAACGAACAAATTCATGAATAAACAATGTTCTACCAATAAGGGAAAATCTACTCATGTTCATAAACGATAAAAAAACGAAAAACTTATACTCATGTGTTGAAAAAATTAAAAGGGAAAATAATTGGGAAAATCAAAATTGTAAAATAATAGTCAAATTTGAAAGAGAAAGAGAGGTACACGATATAGATTATGGAGGTATAAGCGGTTGTGGCATGATGATGCTGGCTATGGCGAGTTTGTTGATTCTTGCCTGAGAAACAACTTGAAATTAGTAATTTGTAGAAATTAATAGGGTTTCTTTGGCAGCAATTGTTGATTACCACTAATGATAATATAACTTCCCATTATTTGAACTTATCTACTAACATAAACACTCGAGAGACTGTTTGACAAAGTTTATGGAAACAATTTATGACATATCCATAAGTGATTTTCAACTTATTTCCACAAGCTCTCCAAGATAGTTTATAAAAACAACTTATGGCGTATATAGAAACAATCTGACTTTTGTTTTTATCTTTTGTTATAGAAATAAATTATATATCACCATATGATAAGTGTTTATGTTGTTTGTCAAAACAGAGATAAATTTAAGTAGAAGTTTGCAAGATAAATACCAAGTATCCATGAAAAGTGGTCTGAATCATGAGTGTCGCGACTTTTTCATTTGGTTTACCGACAACCCAAACAACTGGAGTGGCAAGAACTTGAACCTCAACAGTTTATCATAACATCACAAACATGTACATCATTATCCACATCTTTTACAACTTCAACATGACCATGATTGTTTTCATTCTCAACATGAGTTAAAATAATCTCCTCAGGTTAAGGAGGAAAATGAGGTGGTTGATCATTTTCTGGATATGCGTATGAAGTGTGTAATTTTTTCTACTGAAACCATTTCTTCTTTAATCCACTTCAATTCTGCAAAATAAGTTATAAGTAAAATTGTTCAATTGTTCATATAAATTATAAGTCATATAAACAAAGATCTTTGTGTGATCCACCAACAAAGAAACTTGTAAAGAAAATCACATAATTAAATTGGACTGTCATGGAGCAAGCATCTTTTAACTACCTTCCGGAACATCTCTTCCAACAGCTTTGTGATTCAAGTATCGAATGACAACATCTTCAGCCCTGAAAATATCACCAAAAACAACACAAAAAAATTAAATATATTTCATATGATTCATAGGATGCCAATACATGAAAGACTTCAACAAACAAATAAATAACATTCGGGTCATAACCAAACAATAAAATGATTATGCTAGTGTGCCTCAACATAAAGCAAATAGGTAAAATATCAACATGAATCTTAAGAATCTCTAAAAATATATTAATAAATTCTTTTATTTTATTACTTATCAGTTTATTTTATAATCACTTTAACATCTAATTATTTTTTAATTTAGTCAATCATTTTCATTTAAACCATATTACCTAAATTAAGCACACACTTTGACCCTTTAGCACTATGTAGAAAATAACCTGCAAGAAAAATTCACATGTCATTTAATATTGTTCTTATAAGTAAACAATTTGACCCTTTGAGAAAACATCTCATTTTTGTGCCTATAGACATCTCAATTTGTCCTTAAGACAACAAAATTTCAAAAGATTTTTATAAATAGAGTATGAACTTATATATTCTACAATTTAAAAATGACATGTGAATTATGAATATTTGAGATAGACTTGTATTTGTGACAACAATCTTTAAGTTCTAATGTTTCATATACCACTATCAGTTGATTGCTACGGAAAATAAAACAAAGAATGAAAGTTCAATGCTACTAATTCTTCAAATGTAATTATGAAAATTAAATAGCACTGTATGTCAATGATACCAGCTTTACACATAGGAAATTTTCTAGTAAACCTTTGTTTCTCCAGAACTGCAGAAGGATATTTATTCACTCGTATAGAATTATAACCCGGGCTAACATTTTAGAAGGTTGCTCAAATTTCAAATAACTCTGCAATGCAATGCAATTTTCAAAATTAAAACAAACATAAATATATAATACTCGTGGATTCTATCTCATACAAATAAATAGTTGTATTTAGATTTAGAGGCATATCATGTATTGTTTCAATCTTTCTGAATCAAAAAATACCTTGGTTTGAAATCATTTTTCAAGATGAATGTGGGCATTATACATCTCAAAGGTCTTCTGGTATGAATCGTGATGATGCAACATGAGGATAACTATCAATAAGGCATTTGGATACATCATGAAAATAAGTATTGAGTCAGTTGACCTGACTTTTCTTTTCCTGACAACAAAGAACGAAACTTCTTGAACTGGAACAATCTATAATGCTGCAAAATGCAACAACAGTTATCATGTAAGAAAACAAATATGATGTATGCTTCAAAAATATCACACTTAAAAAGGGTTCCATGAAAAGCAAAATTGTAAGAGATTTTGATGATGATGAATAAAAAGGTTTTTTGTGAAGAGTTTTAGGGAATTGAACTCTTGAGATCACATTACCAAAAGAAAGAAGAAGAAGAAATCCAGCTGGGGCATTTCATCGAACACTTGATGTGCGACGGTAAAACAACAATCTTTTCACCATCTCAAAAGTTGCAACTTGATCAGAAAATCAAAACAATAATCCATAGCACGTTTGGCTCTTCTTCTCCAAAGAAATACCCACTTCCATTATCGACAACCTACAAAAGAATTTATGTATCACATGCTAATTCTTTCATTTAAATATTTAATCATCTATTTCTTAGCATTGTTAGTGGTATCTAAGCCAAATCTTCTCTCATACTAAGTTAAGCAATATGTAGGGTTAAACATGAGCAATATATGCAGAACCTCAATTACTTTTACCATTCTATATCTTGAACCAAAAACAATAATTTTTTTTAAAGAATACAAACCAAGAAGTGATAGTGCATGCTCCATGTATAAACGTAAGTAGACCCCTATCACCAATAACCATGCTTACCTGAAAAGATACCAGCATTTTTCAGTAAAATTTAAATATCTGCAGCAAAAAATAGCATGAATGAAATTATTTATCCTCACTATTGACGATAAAACTCATTCCAGGCCAAATATAAAACCGCAAAGTAGCTTAATAACTCCAATAACAGAAAAACATAGGGAAATAATAAGAATATAATTTCATCGCATAAATTAGTATCGGAGAATCATCAAAAATGCATATCGAAAAACTAAATGTACCAGATTGTTAGATCTAAAGCTTCACAATATATTTCTCAATATATTGCTTCTCATAACTCCATGTAAAGTCATAATTATTTTCTTCATTTCCTGGAAATTTGAAACCCCTACAACAACACAGACATTTCATCGAACAGTTAGTAGGCTATTTTACAGTAATTAATTTGATGTTCATAAATTTCACTTACATCTCTTTTTCAATAACACAATCGAAACAACAAAACATCGGGATTTCATCTCTTTTTAACAACAAAACATCAAACTTTCATCTCTTTTCAACAACAAAATTGAAACCATAAACATCATGATAGAATCAGAAGTACAAACCTTGAGAACATAATCAGTTTCAAAACTTGTTTTTTGGCCTGATGATGCGATAGCCTTCATGAAAGCATCAACCTCAGGGTCTGGTTTGATTCCTGCTTCTCTCTCCCTTCTTGAGAATATAGAAATAGAAATTGAAAAATTATCTGCGTTGAGAAGGATCGATAAATGTAAGAAAATTAAGTTATAGTGATGAATGAATAAAGTGAAAGAAGAACGCGTGATTAGAAATGAATTGTGCAGAGAATGAAAGAAATGAAAGGGAAATATGATAAGTTGCTAGGTTAAGAGAAACGAAAAATGTAGGGCTTTTTGCATCTTGGGAAAAGAATTTTTGAGTTGTAAATCGTGAGTTTATCATTTCAAAAACAAAATACTTATGCTGGCTGTTTAAACTCCACTGTCAGTATAAATGTTGCAACAGAAACGTTCAAGTAATTACTGGAATAAAAATAATATAAAATGTAACAAAATTTCTTGATGTGCCACATCAACCATATTTAATGTCAAATGAATATGGTAACAATATAGTGTTGATTAGTCTATTATACCCTATGAATAAGAAAAGTTATAACATCTAATCAAAAAGTTAGATTTAGAATTTCCAGGTACTTTACTTTTAATAGATCGATAATAGATGTGAATATGAATTATGAAAAGGCGCATGAGAGATAGATATATGAGATTAGATAGGCATAGGTTAATTATTACCATAATAAATGAAGAGCTTTTCTTGCACTAGTCATTGAAGAAATTGAAGCGCATGCTTGCTAGCTTCACAATTATTATTAATATGTAGAATATAGAAGAGAAGTACAGTATTACACACATTATCTCCTAAACTCTCCACCACCTCATCAAACTTCATCATCCATGGCTAGAGCAAACTGCACTCTCCCCATCTGTTTCTTCAAGATTATTCTTCAAACCAATCTTCAAACTATTGTAACAATTCCTTTTAACTTACTCCTACTCTCTGCACATACGTGGTATGTTATATCTGTTTTACCATTTTTGTTTTGAAAAAACTAATGTTAATATTTTCTTTTACAGAAAATACCAAATAAGTTTACAAGGAGTCATGGTGTTGGTCTACCAAACCCAATGTTCATCAAACCTCCTGATGGCACTAAATGGAAAGTGTTTTGGAAAAACATCAATGGTGAGATTTGTTTTGAAAAAGGTTGGAATATATTTACTCAAAATTACTCTCTACAACATGGTTGTTTAGTGGTGTTTAAATATAAAGAGGGAACATCAGAGTTAGATGTAGTAATACTTGGCCAGAATGCACTTGAAATTGACTATGATGATTCTTTATGTGACATTCTTGATGAATCTGACAATGTTGATGATAGTGATAATGAATCAGATGAGATTATGAATGAATGGCTTAATGGGAAGAAGGCTAGACAAAAGTCACCATTAGTTTCTCCTAAAGCACATAAAAAAGTTAGAGGTATTTGAATATTCAAAGTGTATTTTTTGTTTTATATTTACATATATGCAGGTGAGATAGAGAAGAATAGTGAAAAAGCTACATCATTGAATAGGCCAAAGGAATCTAGAGCTTGGGAAGTTGCTGAAGAATTTATCTCAACCAATCCCTTTTTCACATTTTTGATCAAGCCTGCTAATCTGGTAGCAAAAGGGCTGGTAAGGCCAAACACAACATTTACATTATTCATGCAATGCATACATACATGTTATTTATGTTGTTATTATATGTACAATGCAGAGTGGGGTAAATTTAAAAGAAATTATTGAGAATAAGGAGAAGTATGCGATGTTGCAGATTGGTGAAATATCATGGAATCTGAAATTGCTAAGCGTCGCTTATCGGCTGGTTGATCTACGGGAGATGCTTGCATATTTGAACTGATAAACAAGGAAGATTTAGATTTTGGAGTTCATGTTTTCTAAAAGGATTCTTAATCTATCTGTTTGAAGGAGTTATTTTGAGTGATGGTTACTTTTATTAAGTGATACTATTTACTTTCCATCAAATGTGTGAAGTGAAGTAACTTCAACTTTGGTTGTAATTATGTTACTTTGAAATATTTGAAGGAATACTTTATGGTCCACCATGGACTAAGGGGAATTTCTTATGTTTCGGTCAAATATTTGTGTGCGTTCCCTCTTTCTAATGTGATTTATTGATGCCTTTGGTTCAATAAATTTGTTATATAGTAAAGTAGAATACAAAAAGCCACTACATTTTATTTTGGAGTGAATTTATTTTCCAAAAACTCTAGACTATATTATAGGACGCCTGACCATACTCGCTCATGTATACTAGAAAAAATTATTACAAAAGTGAGGGTTACACCTGACCCATGTAATACAATTTTTTAAAAAATAAGAACAAAATAAAAATAAAAATAAAAATAAAGACATCAATAAAATTAATTGATCCCATCTAGAATGGGATGAAAGATTAAATTTTCTATTGTAGTCGAAAAAGTACGCAACTCCTTAGTTAAATTATGAAATAAATACTCTTTGTATCTGTGATACGGTGGGAAAGCTGACTTGGGTCGTTTGCGTTTGATTTCAATTGTGCGGTTAGCAAGAGTTGCCACCGACTTTTCTTTTATCTAAAAGGAAAGGTAAAAAAGCACAAGAAAGACCTTTCGAGATTACTTCTCGGGTTCGGGGGGTGGATTATGAAAAGGGAAGGTATTAACATCCTTTTCATCCATGGTTTTTCATGGGCTCTTAGTTACTTGCTAGATCACTTGCTTTTGTTTGAATGTGCTTGTGGTGTGGGTTTTGAAAGTGTTATTGGAAAGATGTTTTTGTAATGGTTCTCGTCTCTATAAAAACGTATACAAAAAAAAGCTTTTGTCTTTTGAAAAAGGTTTTAATGTGAAAGTGTTGGTGTAAAAATGTTTTTTTCGTGAGCAAGCGAGCAACTAAGAGCGAATATATCTACTCAAAAGGTCTTAAATATTCTTTTCCTCCTTTAGATGTTTCTATCTTATCATTGATTTGGTAAGAAGCCCCATCGTTGGATGTGAAGGGATAGGCGTGGGACGTTTGTACAGTCATAGAAGGCAACTTATGAGACGCTTTAGCAATTTTCGTAAGAGACTAAATCGTTTTATCGAAGGCAACATCGAGGGACATCGAGGGACTATGATCTTTTTTATCGAATGGTCTTTGCTAAAGCATCTCATATTCGAGGGACATGACTATATTTATGAGGCAACGAGCGAGGTTACCCTAGAGGTGCGCGTGTTAAAAAGTGTGTCCGTTTCAAGTTATTTTGTCTTTGAAATTTGGTTATCTACCGATTGATTTTAATCTTGCCATACACACATAATTACTATACAGTATAAGGAAAGCAGTAAATTACGGAAATTAAAATTCTACGCTATTACAGAGCTTTCGGGAGTGGGGAGTATAAATTTACAAATGGGGGTGGATCGAATCAGCAATGCAATTAAAAGTCTAAATAAACAAGCAATACAATCCAATTGAATAAACAGTTAATTAAACTAAAGAAATCTATAAAATAAAATAAATGAGCAAAGTAAAAATATGAAAATAATATTCTTGGTATTTTTTGTTTGTGAGAAATTTTGAAGAGAAAATAAAACCTATTCTAAAAAATAAAATGATTGACTAACAGAAATTAAATCATATGTATATATTTTGCTATTTTATTTTTTTATATTGTGAAGAAATTAAAAAATTTAAAAGAATGTTAACTAACCAATGTTAATTAATAAAATTATTCACAAAGTCCTAAACTAAATTAATTCTAAACAAAAATTAAAAATTAAGTTTATAAAAATTCTAAGATTTGTGGAAAATTAAATCTAATTTTAACAACAACTAAATTATATCTAAATTACTTTATATGTAAACTAAATTAATTATAAAATTTCTAAATCACATCTAACCTAATTCATTCTAAAACTATTAATTTAAAACTAAACTAAATTATTTAACAAAAGAAAGGTGTGAGACAAGAAATTGGAGGGGAAGAGTAACAATTTCGAACGGGATTGCATTGTGAAAATGGAGGTAAGGCCCAAATTCCATCCAAACAAAAACTAGACAAGCTAAAAAAAGTTATTATTGGGCCAGATCGGGTTGGCCTGGATCCGGATCCAACTAGAGGGGAAACACGTTTTTTGAAAAAAAACCCTAATTGTGGGGGAATAGGCGCCGCTAGTGTGATACGGTGGGAGAACTGACTTGAGGTTTTGTGTTTGTATTCGCACTTGTTAGGTTTAGCAAAAGTCGCCACCGACTTTTTATTTTATCCTAAAGGAAATGTTAAAAAGCACAGGAAAAACCTTTGAGATGTTTTCGTGGGTTCGGGGGGTAGATTATGAAAAGGGAAGGTGCTAGCACCCTTTTCATCCATGGTTATCCATGGGCTCTTAGTTACTTGCTTAGATCACTTGTCTTGATTTTCAATTGCTTGAAATGGTGGTGTGTGTGTGTTTTTTTTGAAAATGTTTTGAAAAAGATGCCTTGTCTAGGCAACCGTTGTAACAATTCTTTACTCGAATGTTTTACAAAGGTGTTTGTCTTTTTGAAAAGATGTTTCAAAGTTTTTGAAAGTTGTTTTTGAAAGTTGTGTTGTAGAGTGTGTTTTGAAAGTAGGCAAGGATTTGTTTTGCAAGATTGATCAAGTAACTAAGAGTTGTCTACCCCTAAATTTACTCAAAGATTTTTCTCATGTTTTAACCCTTTTAACAGTATTGTTCCACCATTGTATTTGGTGGACAATCTTGTGTTAGGATGTTAACGGGACGGGTGCGGGTCATCGTATGGACCATGAATGCAATGATGCCAAGTGTCTTTGGCAATTTTTCCTTCAAGGGACTTGATCATTTTTTAGGTAACTTGAGAAAGCGTCATCGAGGGATTATGATTATTTGATTTGTTTTTGTTTTGCCAAAGACACTCAACATGCAACATGACCCATTTTTTAAGGCAACAAGTGGGATTACCCTAAGGGTACAAGTTTGAATTGTGTATTGATTGTCATGCATTTGTCTTGTATTAGGTTATCTAGCAGTTGATTTTGAATCTTCGCATACAAACCCTAATTACTATACAGTATATAGAAAGTGATAAATTACGGGAATTTAAAGTCTAAGCTATTACAAATAAGTATCCGGGAATGGGGATACAAATGTTTACAAATGGGATGAGTCTTATCAGGAGAGTAGTGTCCAAATAATATTTACAACCAAATCGAATCGCATTCTCAATGTAAAGTATATTAATGTATAAGAATAAAAACAATGTATCAAAAGTATTTGTGAAAGTGTATGTGATTATTTACAAGTGATGCAAATATTAACCCAATGTATTTATTAAGTATTAATATCATTTTTTGTGTTTTTCTTAAATATGTATAAACAAAAGTTTTAATGAAAAAAAAATTTTAACTTAATAAAAAATCTATTGTTTGCATATTTTGTTAATGTTCTATATACAAAAGGGTTTTAAGGAGGAAAAAGTCACTTAACTTAATAAAACCTATTTTTATGTATTTTTGTTTTTTTAATGAAAACATTAATAAAATTCTATACAAAAAATTAGTATACTAATGTTTTTACTTTAAAAGAGGTTATGAAAAAAAATAGAAATAAAGTGATAAAAAAAAGGGTATTAGTTTATAAGTATAAGAAAAAAAAAGGAATATAAGAAAAAAAAAGGTTGAATGGTCCTAAAGAGGCATTTGGCCCAAACAAAAACAGACAGGATTAGAAAAAGGGGGGTGTAAGGCGCCAGGATTCAGATGGGCTTAAGGCTTGGAGCGTGGAGCAGGCCCAATGGAACTTTTGACACATTTGTTAGGGTTTGTTTTATTTTGTTTCAGAACAAGGGTTTACAGAGGCTAGAGCGGCGTCGTTCCCTTCATCGTCTTCTTCGTCTTTCTTAACCAAGTTTTCTGAACAAACCTCCGCTCATGGCCACTAGGCGCCACCTCCAACTCCTCCTCCCTCCATGGTCAAGCAAGGCGGCGACACGAAAAGGTTTGATTTCCGTTTTATGCGTTTTTAGGTTTTCAAGGATTTATCTCTTGCATGTTTTACCTCTTACACGCTATTGATTTTTATATTCTATCTTTGTTTGTGTGAGGTGTGAAAGAAAAGGGAAGAAGAAATTATACCTTTGTTGGCTTTGGGAGACGGAGGAGGAGAAGTGGATAGGAGGTGTCCTCAGGCGGCCAAGGCGAGGGAGTATGATGATGTTGTGTTAGCTTTATGGCTTGCTTCCTGGTATTTTTGTATCTTGCTTTAGTTTAATGATGATAGCTTTGCTTCTGAAAACCCTAGGGCCTCTGCTTCTGAAACTTCTTTTCCTCTTCTGCTTGCTTATACTTCTGGCTTTTTTACTCGATGATGAACTCAGTTCTGAGAGTTTGGGATTTGTTTGCTCAATGATGATGAAATTGAAACTGAGATGCTTCAGTGTTGCTTTTGACTTTTTTCCTCTTCCTTCTTATCAATGACGATTGCTCTGAGATATTTTGCTTCAGTTATTGTTTGGCTTTGGCTTGGTTGGAATTTGGTTTTGGCTTTGTTGTGATATTTGGTTTGGACTTGCTTGAAAGCTTTTGTTGAAGGTTTATCAGTTTGCTTTGACAGGTTTTGAAAGGCTTGTGTTTGAAGCAAGCCTTGGTTTGCTTGACACAGGTTTGAAGTCTGTGTTTTGATGTAGGCTTGGTCACAGGCTTGTTGGGGTTTCTGGTTGTGACATGCTTAAGGTTTAGGCTTTCATGCTGTAACAGGTTTGAGCTTTGAACTCAGGTTTGAAGCAAGTTTGCAGGTTATGCTTATGCAGGCTTCAAGACTTGATGTTTACTGAGTTTGAGGCATATTTTTGGGTTGTGTTTTGGACAGGCTTATTGAAGGTTTATGCAGGTTTGAGAGCTTGTGTTACTTGTTGTT